AGTTATCTTGAATTCATTGAGTCTGTCAGTATCTCGAAGGAAGGCTGTATTGAACCCTTGTATTGCTGTTTGTCCGGTTGTCCAGTTCTTTTTTAGCTTCAGTTTTAAATTGGCTACAACTAGGTGGTGATCTGAATCTATGTCAGCACCTCTTCTGGTTCTCACATCTTCCATTGTCCTTCGGAACTTTTTGTTGATGCAAATATGATCTATTTGGTTCTCTGTAGTGTGGTCCGGTGAGATCCATGTAGCTTTGTGTATACGTTTGTGTGGAAATATTGTGCCTCCTATGACCAATTTGTTGAATGCACACAGATTTGCAAATCTTTCTCCATTTTCGTTTCTTTCACCCAGTCCATGTCGTCCCATAATATCTTCATATCCGGTGTTGTCTATTCCGACCTTGGCATTTAGATCTCCCATCAGAATGGTGAGGTCCTTTCTTGAGCACTTCTCTATGAATGACTGCCGCCGCTCGTAGAATTGATCTTTAATGTCATCGTTGCTATCATTGGTGGGTGCATAACATTGGATAATATTCATTGTGATGCTCTCCTTCTTTGTTTTGAATGATGCTTTGATGATTCTCGGTCCGTGAGATTCCCATTCTACAAGTGCATTTCGTGCTACTTTGGACAGCATTGGAGCGACTCCCTGAGTGTGCGGAGCATTGTCCTCTTCATGACCGGAGTATAGCAGCATCTCTCCCGTATTAACCCTTTTCTATCCAGCTTGGGTCCAGTGGGTTAAGCTGATTCCAGTACTTCCAATTTGTATCTCCTCATTTCCGTTGCTATTTGACTGGTCTTCCCGGTCTCCCACATTGTTCGGACGTTCCATGTACCGATAAAAATTGTTGCTCTGGTTGTTAGAAGGGGAATCGGCCTCGTAACTTCCGAAGGGAATCCGCTTTCACCATGAAGCGTCATAATTCTTCTAAATGAAGACCTTCTATCAGGGTAGAGTTAAAATGGTTTGAATTATTTTTTCTGGTTAACGTTTTTTTAGCGAGTTAGTTTCCTACGAGATGGAGACGCTAACCCCATGCCCAACTCTCCTCCTTTACCCGGGCTTGGGACCGGCAGTAACTCTAGAAGAGCTACAGGTGGAGTTAGTTCGTGACAAAAAACCATAAATCTGATTCCTAAACCTTAATTATCAACTGTAAATCATAATTCGGGTTCCTCACACTAATGTATAACCCTCACTTGGTCCTAGTGTGGTGAACAAGAACACCAGTGGGGACAATCGAATGTATTTGACACGAAATAATAATAAGATCTAACAATCATAAAGTAAATACGTAAATTGCAAAATGTCCATCAAGTGTCTCATAATGACTCAGACTTCATTGTTCTTGCATTTTCATACAAATCGCATTCTGTTTCCATTCTTTCCTGTTCAATCCTCTTGTCTCTCTGCTGCCAGACCTTCTGTTCACGACTAACATCATCTACTACTTATGTCAATATAAGTAGCACACACCACACTAGTTATCAGATGGACATTCTCAATGTCATTCTAGCGTCGTTTAAAGATCGTCCATAAATTATAGTCTCACCGAGATATAGAAATAAAAATCATGGCTAATTATTTAATGTTTTCGTACATTTCCTGCTAATGTTATTTTACGTCTATTTGTGTAGGTGTATGAACTATTGAACATTGAAGTGAATGGACTATATAGCGTTGTTCTCAAAATCAACCGCCACCACGGAGTAGAATGATATAAACAAGATAAATACTGAATTTAGTTTCATCTTATCACATATATGTTTACATTGTATATATCCATTTATTTGTAATATATAATTAGATTAAAGTAAATTAAGTAATTGAAAACAACACATTACATCAACCTTATTTTTGGATGTCTATTTCATGTTGGTGAAACAACTTAGTTTGTTATTTGTAAGTTTATTGTCTAAGTTGGTAATATGAATGTTGAAACAAGAAAGTATAAAGCATTAAAAAAGAACATATATATGAATGATTGTCTACTTCGTTATTAGTACTAACTTACTTACTTATTTACTTACACCTGTTACTCCTAATGGAGCAGAGACCGCCGACCGTTATTTTTCAACCCACTCTGTCCTGAGCATTCTTAACTAGTTCTATCAAATTCTTGTTCATTTTTCTCATGTCTATCTCCATTTCTCGGTGTAATGTGTTCTTTGATGTTCCTCTTTTCCTTCGGCCTTGAAGATTCCATGTGAGGGCTTGTCTTGTGACGAAGTCGGGTGCTTTCCTCAATGTATGTCCTATCCACTTCCAGCACTTCTTCCTTCGTTATTAGTATTGCTCTAATAATAAGGATCTAATCCTAAGATTATAGATTTGTCATAATGTAACTGCCTAGTCTATAAGATCATACGTGAAAGTCACACCATTGTCTGCACTGACTCATCTTATCGCAACAATTACCAATAGATGATGGTGAACTCATTCAGGCTGAAGGTAGAACAACATATTTAATATAATTAAAAGCAAGTCTTACAGAGCGACCATGCCTACGAGGTTGAGTCATGCCACCCGATTATTTCGAATTAATTCAATTCATTGTTTCCGCCTTCTCTATCGTTAGGTTTTTCTCCGAGTTAAATGTTGAATATCTATTTTCCCAGTTGTCTCCATGTTCAGCGTTGAGGATTGCGAGGTTATGGCCCAATGCCACTACACATATTTATAACCACTAGACAAGTTAATAACCCAGAGTCAAGAGATAATGAAATGATAGTTAGTTGGCTCCGGTCTGACTATGAATATTAGCACTGTAACGTAACTATACTTAACTGATATGTCCTAGTTAAAAATGGAACATGATACCCTTTTCCCATTACTGGTATACAATCATCAAGTACTTAGTTAACTTGTATTTAATAATGTTTTACAAATTTTTCTACTGGTAAATATTCTGATAATAATCATCTGCTCACTAGTGACTGACTTCAAGAGATATTCCTGAAGTTCTAGTGGGAAGCCGTTACCAGTGGAGTACAACCAGGTCTGTTGTGAGATATCAGCTCACTGAAGACAATGGAATATGGTGGCGCAACTTCGTGGATTGGTTGAAGTTAGACATTAACACCGTTGGATACCAGCCGGCTTAGTGGTGTGATGGTTAAGCGGTCGCGCGCGCGAAGCCAGTAGGTCCTGGGTTCGAGCCCCGCGTGGTGCGGGATCGTGGATGCGCACTGCTGAGGCGTCCCACACTAGGACGAGACGGCCGTCCAGTGCTTCTAGGTTTTCAATGGTGGTCTAGCTTCAAGTGACTCATGATTTCAATCTGTGAAAATATTCATTAGTAAAAAATGTTGAACCTCATTACTACTTAACAAAAGTTATTAGTTGGCGGTTAGAATTAAGTGAATTACCAAAATAGCATTAAGACAATGTCGTTTTTTCTTGATTCTACTTTGCATAATATATATTACTTTTGCTACATAGGGGTGTGATGTGTGCTACTTCATCGACATAAGTAGTATATAACGATGTCAAGAATAGAATAACCCCACTTATGTTCTCGTTCATTACAGGGGGATTATATTTTGTAAGATATGTTGATAGTTTTGTTTTGATCAATCTATACTGCGGCGTATATCAACTCAGGAGTATACTCAGGAAAGATCGAAATATAGGATGAACTTCAGAAGGAAGAGTAAAAAAACTATTTACCACAATATTTTGTGTGGATTGGTTTACTGGAAATAAGCCATGGATCTTTTGTATTCACGTAAAGGACGATATCCTTTAGTCTAGTGTTTTTAGCGTTTTCTTAGCGAGTTAGTTTTCTACGGAATGGGGTCGCTAACACAATGTCCAACCCTCCTCCTTTATCCGGGCTTGGGACCGGCAGTAGCCCCCGGAGGGGCTTCAGGTGGAATTTAGACTACTCAACTTAAAACTTACTGTCTGGATTATCTACTTCCGATCTTATTTCACTTTTGACTTCGATGACTACACCAAACGTCTCTTCTCAACTGAGTTTAAAGAAGTTGTTTTATTGTCAGTAATGACTGCATGTTGAAAGCAAAAGATTAAAACTGAATTTCTTTCAGAACATTTATTATCGAACTTACTTTTCAGTTCAAATATAATAGCGAAACCTGAGTTGAATCTTTGGTGGTTGTAGGATTCAAACCATCCTCCCTTAGTAGTTAACCTTATCTGGGAGTCGTCGTTAGAGTAGATATTCTTAATAAAAGGTTTTCTTTTTCAAACAAGTAAATACACCATAAAAAATGACCACCAAATACATCTTAGTTCATGTATGAGAGACTGTTTGAATCGATGATTTATGAGTATTAGTGAAGGAAAGTATTTTTAGTTGCTCAAGTTCAAAATGACAACATCACAATCAATTATTATCATTTCTTTTTGATTGAGACTATGAACCGATTGATGTTAGACCACTAGTGAAAACCTGAAAGCACTAAATGGCCGTTTGGTCCTACTGTGGAACTCCTCGATTCCACACGTGGGATTCGAACCCAGAAACTTCAGTCTCGTGCGCGAACGGTTAACGTCTAGACCACTGAGTTGACATCCAACGGTGTTAATGTCTAACCTCAACCAATCCATGAAATTGAAAAATCATCTTCCATTGTACTGGGGTAGGTACCTATTTCTACCCAACACGGATTAGCTCTACTGGTCATGGCTTCTCACTAGAACTCCTGGAATTCCCTCTAAATATCACCATATCTCAGTATAGTTGAGAAAATGCTTGCCAGTCATTTTACTAGTCATCAGAATGTATATGTCATTACTGAATCAGAGTCACATAACATGAAAAATTAATCTCAATTCGTCACTACAAAACATCTCCAATTGTTGAGTCTTCATTCTAATCAAGTAAGACCATTAGTGCTCGTATTAATGTGTATTCCATTGATTTCCATTATCAATCAAACTACTATTCAAAGCAAAATGTCATCATGTATATAGAATTTGATGTTGCTTTTTACTTTTCTCTCTAAAACGGAACACTGCCAAACATGGATGATAAGTGTGAACAAATAATACATCATAATGGCAGTGATTATCACCAGAAGGAGACAAAGTATGTGTGGCAATTTAGAGAAATACAAATGATCTCTTCATTTCTCTAATCTCATATTCACCTTTGCATTATCGAACTATCACCATCATAATCTCACTACTGATATCTAGTAATATAAGTAGCATTCACCACACTACCATTACTACTACTACTACTACTACTACTACTACTACTACTACTACTACTACTACTACTACTACTACTACTACTAATACTACTACTACTACTACTACTACTACTACTACTACTACTACTACTACTACTACTACTACTACTACTACTACTACTACTACTACTACTACTACTATTACGACGACTACTACTACTATTACGACTACTACTATTACTACTACTACTACTACTACTACTACTACTACTACTACTACTACTACTACTACTACTACTACTATTATTATTATTATTATTACGACTACTACTACTACTACTACTACTACTACTACTACTATTACGACGACTACTACTACTATTACGACTACTACTACTACTACTACTACTACTACTACTACTACTACTACTACTACTACTACTATTACTACTACTACTACTACTACTACTACTACTAATACTAATACTACTACTACTGCTACTACTACTACTACTACTACTACTAATACTACTACTACTACTACTACTACTACTACTACTACTACTACTATTACTACTACTACTACTACTACTACTACTACTACTACTACTACTATTATTATTATTATTACGACGACTACTACTACTACTATTACGACTACTACTATTACTACTACTACTACTACTGCTACTACTACTACTACTACATATTTATTTATATTATTAAAAATGTCAAGTTTATAATAAGATCGATACATAGTTCTACTGTCATATCAAGGTATTTTCTTGATATCACTTTGTTCTATTACTTGGGAAAAAGAATTTTCATTTGAATCTCACGTTTGTTTTCTTACCAACAAAGTTGTCCAGAATTCCAATTATGAATGATTCATCATTCATTTTTTAACTCCATCATCTTCCCTTGTTTATATTTGTGATTAGATAATTTGATATTCAATGTTTAGTTTCAGTTATTCAAATGTACTTCTTCTTCTTGTTTTCCTCTCTCTCTTTATTTATCTAGCATATAGTTTTCTAAGCAAAGATGGATAGTGGTTAGTAGTGGAATCCAGGACGCATTTTTCGTCCCATCTGGGACTCTTCAGCCGGACATATCTGCATGGGGACATAATATAGTGAACACGAACACTAGAGGGGGGGACAACTGAATGCATTTAACCCAAAATTACAGGACATGTTAATAAAATCTAACAATCACAAAGTAAATATTTAATTTGCAAAATGTCCATCGATTGTCTCATAATGACTCAGACTTCATTGTTCTTGAACTTCAATACAAACTGCATCCTGTTTCCATTCTTTACTGTTTGATCCTATTGTCTCTCTGCTTCCAGACCTTCTGTTCACGACTAACATCATCTACTACTTATGTCAATATAAGTAGCACACATCACAATACAAGTAAAACAACATCAAGTCAATATAAACGTTTTTGTTTTGTTTATTTGAAGGAATAAATTCGAATGTTTAATTGGAAGAAAGAACACAACTGAGCCTGTGAAATTCTTTGAATATTTTTAGTTATTTCAAATAGTTTCATTGTGATTGTTGTTGTTGTTATTGAAACTTTGTTCAAATTTCAGGTGATTACAATCTTATTGTCTAGTTACTAACTTCACCTGGAACCCTCATGGAGCTACTGACAGTCCGAAACCCGAATAAAGGGGGAGGGTTAGATATGGGGTTGGCGACCCAATCCCGTGGAAAACTAACTCGCTAAATACATGTTAACCAGAAATACCTATTTACTGATAACCAGAAGAGGAATTTAATGACGATGGTTGCTATTCAGTGATAGTAAAAGTTGTATACATTATCTTTATTTTTTTTAAATGGAACTAAACGAATAATTATGACGAAAAAATTGTTCAGTCCTATTAGGTTTTCATTGGTACAATGATGTGTTCTACTGATATTGATAGATATAAGTAGTATGTATTATCAATCAAAGATGGAATTCCTGGCAGCAGAAGGTTAAGAAGATAGAAGAAAACAGAACGACAATAGAGAATGATTGTTATGGAAATGAAGGAACAATTAAGTTTGAGACGATTGACTGGTATTTTGCGGATGAAATATTTACTATATGGTTCTGAGGTTTCACTAGGTGATTATGAAATTTTGTTTTCAATTACGTTTGATTATTCCCACTTTTGTTCTCGTTCACTACAGTACCTCGGATAAAATCAGTCTGTGATATATACAATCGAGAAATGACTAGATGTTAAGACTATGCTGAAATTAGCCTCTTGTAGCGTCGGGTCGAGTCGTGGTTGACTATGATCACCACTACAAGAAGGTTGCGTACCAGATATCAGAAGGCGATTGGAAGTTGTGGCGAGATATATTTGTTGGCGATCTCGTGGTATCAAAAGAATACCAAGGTCGTGCCAAAAGAGTACAAGCGGAATCACTGAGCAGACGTAAGTGCGTGCAAGGTCACAATGAACGGAAGGAAGAATGTCTTTAGTACAGTTAAACAAACAAATACAGTATAACAATCCCTGGTACAATTGATGATAATAATAATTGTTTCCATTAAACCAATCGCGTTCCCTTGATAAAAGTAGGTCGCTACACTCTGAAGTCATTTAGATAATTAATGAAATCCAAAGTAGTTAGAATGTTTAATACATTTACTCAATAATAAGTACTTCAACAATATCCCATAATAGTTAAATTTCATATCATATCAAATCGTGCATATTTTTTCGTTCAGAAATGAAACGAGAGGGAAAGGGAAAACCAGTACAAAAGACTAACTCTAACATACTCAGCTAGAAAAAGATTCAGATGTTATGACTGGATAAAACATGAAGCCACAGTTTCAATTTGATGGAGTATTTACTTAGTATATCACTTGTGTTTATTCTTAATTCAGTGTGATATTCGAGTGATGCTCATTGAGTACGACATTCACCATCCATTTTTATTCATTCAATTTGGAATTTACTCAGTATAACACTAATTGGGATAGATTTATTATAAAATCTAACGGTTTTCTCTTGATGTCACTTGTGTATGATAATTGTTGACCGATCATCAAACCCCATTTAAGTTCATGAATAGACATATTTCATCAATGGTTGATCATTGTGATTATTTAGAGTGTGAGTAAGATTTTTATGTACTATTCGTTCTTCTCTTATTCCATGCATCGTTTAAATCTATCTTTTGCAGTTGTCCAATGGAATTCCGCTTGAAGCCCCTCCGGGGGCTACTTCCGGTCCCAAGCCCGGATAAAGGAGGAGGGTTGGGCATGGAGTTAGTGACCCCATCCCGTAGAAAACTAACTCGCTAAAAAAACTCTAACCAGAAAAAAATAGTTCAAATGGAATTCGGTTATGAAATATATCTAAAAATATGAAAAAGTGAATTTAAAGTTGGATATGTTAGCCACTGGATGTTATTCAATAATCTGAATTCATTATATCTTCACCTCAACATTTGAACTTCCTTGGTTTCATTCATCGTGATGACATAGTTACTGTTGAAGAGTCTTAAGCTAGAACGAAATAATTCACTACTGCCCCCCCGATTTTCAAAATTTCTTCAGCTAAAAATGTTATCCACTGAGGTACCGAAACCAGAGACCTAGTGATAAACTGAAGTCTTGAAAATCAACGATATGGAAAATTCTTTGCAAATAAACTCATATCTGTTGAATGAGATAATGGTTGTCTGGACTAATTATTATTAAAGAATACATGTATGCCATTGGAGATTGGTCGATTGAGACCCTATATTTATAGTCATCCATGAATGTGTAGTGACTCACATTTATCACGAGAACACGACTGGTTTAATGAGAACAATTATTATTATAACCAACTGTACCAGTGTTTGTTTTAATGTGCTTTTGTTTAACTGTGCTAATGACAGCTATATTGTGCTTCCATTCATATACACACACATTGATTGTGACTTCGCGCGAATTCGGTTACGTTCTGTAACCAAGCTTGTATCCTGGCACGATCTCGGTATCCTTTTGATACCACAAGATTGCCAGCAAATATATCTCGACTTGGTCAATTAACTGCCTTCTGATATTTGGCTTCCGGGGGATTTTAAGGATTATTTGGTACGTGTTTCTCTGTAGCGGTGTTCATAGTCAATTGGGACTCGACGCCACGCTACAAATGTATCTTTAGATTTTCATAAAGGTACAATTTTCAGTTTTTTTATATACTTCATTATAAGTTAAAAGTATCTTTGTCACATTCTTAGATTGCTTTTTTCTTTTGCACTCTTTACAAGTTTGACCTGAAGGTGTTTACTGCTTGAAAAAAGTTAGCTTTTATCTCGTGCGTTCAGTCTTTATTCATCATATTGTCAGCTGTTGATGATTTGGCAATGTTAACGAAATAGTAACTTATACTTGGTTAGTTTAAAAGTCAGATAATCGATCGATATTTTTGTTCTATCGAAATGAAAAATAGTAACATAAAACCATTTGATCAAAAGAGTGTGATATTGTGAATGCATGATGTTTGTATGTAGTAATGAGTTATTTATACATTATACCGCGACTATTGCATATTCCAAATGTAACGGTATCAAAAATCATTAAATATGACGTTACTAATGTGAGTTTGCTTTTCCTCATTTGAAGGCAACAAAGAGTGAATGTACTAGAAGAAGGAGAACAAGCCTTAAGCAAGATGAACCTACAGGACAATGAATAGATTCATTTTGTAATAAGCTTTCCCTTTTGTACTGGAACCGCATCATTCAATTTTAAAATATATTTCGGTTGTGCCAGTACGCCGTGTTCTTACTTGAGTGGCATTTACTGATCCTGACTGTTGTGTCGTGTTTCAGATCGCTCTTCCTTGCAATTAAACGCTAATAGTACGTGCTACACAAATAAAATACGTTCATTTGTGCCCACTGAGTTCTATCTAACCTAAATTGAACATTTCTGAGAGTTTACAGTTAGTTTGCATTACTATTATGGAATGTGTCCAATATTGCTTTTGAAAAAAATTAAGGGCTAATGGTCAATTTCTTTTCACATAGTAAGATATACTAAGATCAACCCAATAAATGAACGCTTTGTAGTCATAACTCGCTTCAGATCAACCTGAATATGAAAGAAACTTCGGCTCTATTATTGTTTTGTGAACGAATAGTAATTATTTTAAATTAATTTGCTAATTCACGGTTAACTAGGACAAATTCAGATATGTATATAAATTATGAAGACTTTCCTGGAGACGAACTGATATAATTTCACCAATCATCGAGATCTGTGGATCACCGGAAATCTGCCTATTTGTTGTTTGATTGTCCATGGTAGGGAAGGCGAACTTGATAAATGTAAATTGCCAGATTAGTGATTAATTTTTAGTTAATAGTGTTCTACAATCTTCAGATAATATCGGCAGCCGGTAGTTACTTCTTTCCAAAAGAACACCAGGAAATTCACCTCTAATTCAGTCACACATAGACGCATTGTTTTTGGTGCTTATTAGCATGGTTCTAGAAGAGATTTGTACAGCCTGAATGCGATTTTTATCACACTAATACGTTAATTATCATTTTCGATCAACTAGCGCCAATCCTGATCAGATGTATAGATGTCTGTGTGAAGTATTTTGATTGTGACAAGTAAGCCATGTTCCCGAACTCAAGTATATGGACTCTGCCGTGGCATTCGATTCTTTTAAAATGGTTTGGCTGATGTAGAAAATAACTAAGAATTTGTTCTTAGTGGTACTTCT